CTCAGTCTTCATCTGTGTGAATATTTTTGCAGTTTCTTTTATTGTTTTCTTGTTTTATTCTGTTGTGGTCTGGTAGAATACAGGGGATTATTTAACTTTTCTTAAGACTTGCTTATGTTCTAAAATATAGTCTACTTTGGAGAAAGTTCTGAAGACTACTGAGAAGAATGCGTATTTTGCAGCTGCTGGATGAAATACTCTGTATATGTCTCTTAAGTACATTTGGCAGATAGCGTCATTTAATTCTAATGTTTCTTTGTTGATGTTTGGTTGGATGACCTACTTATTTATCCACCAGTCCTTTTTTGTGATGGGTTTTTTCGAGATAGAGTCTTGTGAACTATTTGCCCTGGCTGGCTTCAAACTATAATCCTCTTGATCTCTGTCTCCTGAATAGTTAGGATTATAGGTGTGAGGCATCAGAGCCCAGCCTGTTCTGTGTCTTCTGTTGTAGAATTGAGACTATTAACATTCAGTGCAAATATTGAAACATACATAGTGTTTCTGTCCTTTTGTTGTTTTTGTGATGTTTGCTTCTTTCCTAATCCTCATCTAATGAAAGTTATTCTTTCCTGTATTTTTTCTGGTTGCATTTATCTTCCTCTTCTATGTGCAGGATTCCTTTAAGTTTTTTCCATAGTGGTGGTTTAGATGGGCATGAATTTCTTTAGTTTTTGTTTATTGTGGGTGATTTTTGTTTCTCCTTTGATTATGAAAGATCGCTTTGCTGGGTACATTAATCTAGGTTGATAGTTATTTTCTTTCAGGGCTAAGAATATATCATTCTATGCCCTCCTTGCTTTTAGAGTTTCTGTGGGAAAAAATCTGCTGTTATCCTGATGGGTTTGCCTTTATATGTGACTTGTCAACTTCTCTTTTGCAGCTTTCAATATTCTTTCAATATTTAGTGTTTTAATTATGTGTCTAGGGGTGTTTCTTTTCTAATCTTGCCTTTTTGGTGTTCTAAAAGCCTTCTGTACCTGGACACCCATCTCTCAAGATTGGAGAAGATTTCTGTTACTACTTTATTGAATATGTTTTGTATGCTTTTAGCTTGTACCTTTTCTCCTTCTAGACCCAGGATTCATAGGTTTGGTATTTTGATGGTGTTCCAGCAGTCTTTCATGTTCTGTTCATATTTCCTTAATATTTTTTTTCTGTCTTTGTCTGATTGATCTAATTCCTCTACTTTATCTTTGATCCCTAATACTGTGTTTTCAACTTGTTCCATTCTATGAGGAAGGCTTTCAAATGAGTTTTTCATTTGGGTTATTGAACTTTTCACTTCCAGGATTTCAATTTGATTTTTTTTTTTAGAATTTCCATATTTGTGTTGAATTCCTCTATTATATCCTGCATTGTCTTCCTTATTTCATTGAGCTGTTTATTTGAATTCTTTTTGAATTCATTCAGCTGTTTATTTGTAGCCTCTTTCAATTCATTCAGTGCTTATACATGTCCTTTTTAAATTCATTCAGTGCTTTTATGTGTCCTCTTTCAATTCGTTCAGGTGCTTGTACATGTCCTCTTTAAATTCTTTGACCATTCTTACTATTGTTGGCCATTCTTATTATCCCTTTGAGTTCATTATTTGAAATTTCATCCTCTTTACTACTGTTCATCCTTTATTTTGGAAATGTTGACTTTTGGAGGAGATTGGGTGCCTTGTTTTTTCATATTACTTGTGTTTCTATGTTGGGATTTGCGCATCTGAGGCCAGGTTGTTGGTTGGAGGTTTTAATCAACTAGTCTTTTAGTCAAAATAGTCCCAATGTTTAGGCAGGATAGCTTAGTGGCCAGGTTGAGGTGCTTTTTCTCAGCACTGGGCTGAGAGGTGGCTCAGTAGTCAAGGATTTGCCCATGAGCTCAGGGTACTAGGCCTGATTATTCCCAGCACTAGTCAGATGAAGGTAGACTAGCTAAAGTCTCTTGTTGAGGGGCCAGTTGTCTTCTTCTGTGCTGCTTTCACCTTGGAAGCTTCTCTTCTTTGTGTACTGGTGCTGCTGTTGCCTGCAGGGAGCTTTACGGCCTGTGGGCTAGGCAGGTTCCCATTTGCTACATTTACTCCCATGTTTGTGTCCTCAGGGGCAGCAGCATCCATTCCTTGGGGTGACTCCCCAAATGTGTCAGAGAGTACGGGGAAGAACAGAGGACTGAGTTCTGCCCTGGGTGGGAGAGCTGAGGGACTTATTCTCTTTCTTTGCTGTTCACAATGCTTGCAGACCCTGTCCAGCAATTCACCTTCTTATGATTGTGAGGGACAGGACTGTGGGCCCTCAGTCCTGTCAGGAAACACACACCAGGATGTAGTTTCCAGGGGTGGATCTCAGTGTTCTTAGGCTCTGCCTGACAGTTAGCCTTTTTGTGGTGGGGAGGCAGTAGGTACCATGTGACTTAGAGGGTCTGAGTGCAGGACTCTGACCCACTTAGCAATCAACACATGCAGCCAGGAGTCAGGCCCTGGAGGCGAAATACGAAGCCAGGCACAGGCTTGTTGTTTTGTTTCTGCCTTAGCCTTGGGGCTATGGGACTCCATGTCCTACACCACCTTTTGCTGCTGGTGGAGTTCTTTGTTGCATGAACTCTGTGGGACCATGTTGGACCGTCTCCCTCTCCTTGACCACCTTTTATGGCTGTCTCCCACCCTGACTTTGTCTGGGTGTCCCCAGACTCCTTGATCCATGAGTGTTCCTTTTTTTTTTTTTTGGGTCCCCAGAGTATTTCAATCTCAACTAATAGGCCTTCTTTCAAGATGGTGCCTTGCTATCCCCCTCCAAGATAAAGGGAGCGACAGAATGTCTTTCTTCAGTGAGGCTAGCCTTCCACTCCCTAGCAGTCACTGTCTCACAAATCCCTGACTGGGTTCGAGGCTTGTGGGTGGTGTGGGAATTGCCAGTCTATTATCAAGGCTGCCTATTTTATCTTGTGATGGCGTTTTCAGCTTCCTTTCCTCCTTCCCCCCTGGAAAATTGTAGGCGGTCTTAGAACTGTTTGCTACTTTTCTCTGCTGTCTTGGTTTCCCTGTCCTTTTCTGCCATCCTGCTACCTCTTTCATGGTGCTCTTCCTCTTTTTCTTTCTTCAGAAGATAGTCTCTCCTTTGTTCCCTGACTCTTCTCACTTCTAGAGTCAAGATGGTGGACATTTCTAATCTGCCATTTTTTCCTGCCTCTTTTGAGAGTTCTTTGCTGAATCCTCTGCATCTGTCCAAGAAGCAGGAGACTTTTTTTTTTTTTTAAATAAGTCAGCCTGGAAATAACTTACTTCATTTCCCCTGTTTTCTAGTGTGCAGAAGTAGTCACATGGCACTCTGTCTGCAAGAGTCTTTTGGAAACTTTCATCTATCTTTGTGACAGGTGAAAAAGCAAGTGAGGTCTGTCAGAGGCTGTTTCAGTATTTTCAGCTTGTGACAATGATGGTTCAGATTAGAGTAAGAGTATTGGATTTTTATGTTTTTAAGATATATTTAGGACATAGAATTGATAACATTTGATACGTTATTTAGGTTGCAGGCTAATCTGCTATAACAGAGTAGCTCATACAAGATAGAAGTTAATTTCCCCCCTTGTAGTGGTCCAGGCTGCCTCAGTTCCTGTGGTTTACCTCTAGAATGGTAGGATATATCAATAAAAACTGATAAGATTGTCGTAAATCATTGAAGAAGATTCCGGCTCATCATTCTGTAATGTGAAGGAAATTGTACCAGTTACCTGGTTTGTCAGGAAGGTGTCATGGTTTGTCAAAATATATGTAGGTGCTACCTTTCTCAGAATTTTAATGTACTCCTGGTGTCCACTGACTGGTAACCTTGTCTCCCTACTCCTAGAGAAAGATCCTTACTGAATTATTTGGAAGGCTGAAAAAATATTTTCATAAGGATGGATTTTGAAGACTGTGTGTTAAGTATAAAGCTTTATGGCGGCAAAGACATAAAAATTTAGTACACAGTGATTGTCACCATTGTTAAAGTAGAAGTTACTTAGATTTTTTTAACCTAGGGAGAGAGAAGCTTCTTTTTCCATTCCAGGAGCAAGTCTCAGAAATGCACTCAGAATGGTGAACATTCTCAGTGCTTGCTTTCTTAGCACGTATGCTGTAAGATTTGAACATAAAACTTTTACTCAGGACTGATGATGTTTATTGCTGCTAATTGAAACATTTACTATTTGAACAAGTCTGTGTAAAATCTCCCTGTAGCACTAGGTGGCACACTATGGCTTTGGATAAACACACACACAGTTTGTTGAAGTCTTCTGCAAGCAAAGAGCCTAGGAAAAATGCTGCTTGAAATTGACATCTCTAAGGTTATGAAGTATCTCAGACTTATTTATTGCATTTCAAACCCTGATACTTAGATTAAAATGTTTAAAACTTTAAGTTATTACTAACATTTTAATAACAGTGACTGAAGGAAGTTTGGTCAGCATGTGTTATTGAAAGCATCTGTGCTTTAAAATGAGAAATGGTGTTCAGTCAGCTGTGAGAGGAGTAGGAATGTTTCTGCATGTGACATACTAGAATTATAAATAGAAACAGTTTTGAGTTGGTGGCTTTTTCTTTGAATGTGCCTCTGTGTGTGTTGTGTGTGAGTACTAAGTACAAAAGAGCTCAGCTGTTAAACTCATGTTAGGAAGGAAATGTCTATAGAAGAAAAGGACGTTGGCTCTGAAGTTTTCTGGCCTAGTGTTACTGCAGTGTCCTCAATGAGTCTGTATCAGACCTGGCTCCCGACTGGCCCAGGGGCTCATAGAGCCAGTGTTGCCTTCAGGCTGGGTAGGTCTAGTGCAGGTAATAAGTTACACACACTGGTAGAGTAGTTGAGTTTTAAAGTCTGTCATTTAATTTTATCAGTTACGGGAATTATTGCTTAGATCTCAATAATGTAGAGATAAAATGATGCAGCCAACGCCCGAGTGGAAATTCACTTTAACACTGTCACCAGGGAATTAGAAAATCAAAGGAGTTTCTAAAACATCTCATGCTCAGAGAACTTTCAGGGGACATGTGTGGCGTGTTTGTAAAGACTGGTCTTTCACGTGACCTGCTGATATGTGGGGTGCTGCTACACCTGCAACAGGTGTGGGTATTCTGATACGTATGGGTGCTGCTGATACTGGTGCTCTGTGGTGGCTGTGCTTCCTAGGATACTTTTCAAACCTTAGCTCTATTTATTTTTGAAATAATTTCTTGTTAAAGTTTCAAATTTAGTCTTTTTATACCTAAAAGAAAGACTTGTGATTTAGTTTCTTTTCTGCTTAACCACCTTACAAGTCCCAAATCAGTTTTCAGTGTTTCTTGTCTGAATAAATATGGGAAATGAAGAATCTCTTGAATATATTGTATGCATAGTGACTAAAGCCTAATGATCTGATACATGTTCTCTTTTCCACACACAGGCTTCATTCCAGCGCTCCAACAGTCATGATAAAGTACGGAGGATAGTTGCAGAAGAGGGTCGCACGGCAAGAAACCTCATAGCGTGGAGTGTTCCACTAGAAAGTAAAGATGACGATGGTATGTATTAAACAGTTGGCTTCATCTTTGAGATCATGGCACATGTTTATAATCCCTGCTACTCGGGAGGCTGAATATAGTGAGACCCCACTCAACAAAACAAACCAAAATTAGAAGAATATACGTAGTTCTAAAGAGTAAGTAGATTGAAAACTGAATGCTCGCAACTAGAATTCTTTGGCAAATTAGTATATATAAATAAAAAGTTTTATGCACAAACAGTTTGCTGTTTCAGATAATAATGAAGTAGGGTTTGTTATGACTGGCAGACTATGTAAATTCTAAGATACTTAGATTGTTCTTTTATTAAAATTTTTTACATGAACTTTTACATTAACTTATTGTATATTTTATGAAACCTATGCCAGGCACCGGTGGTGGCTCATGCCTGTAATCCTAGCTACTCGGAGGCAGAAATCAGGAGGATTGTGGTTTGAAGCAAGTCCAGGCAAATAGTTCATGAGCACCTATCTGAAAAAAACCCATCACAAAAAAGGGTTGGCAGAGTGGCTCAAGTGGTACAGCCACCTGCCTCAAACTCCAGCACCGCCAAAAACAAGACCTAGAAGGTATAGTTCATTGGTTGAGTGCTTGCCTAGCAGATGTTAAGCCCAAGGTTTGATTCCTAGCCCTTTGAAAAACCTCAAAAACTGGAAGACAGAAATTCAGAGATTCCCAGCATAAGGAAATGATAAATAATGAGTTAGAAGGGACATAGGGAAAGAAAGAGTGATAGAGGGGCCAATCTGATTAAAGTACAGTCCATGCATGTGTGAGATACGGTGAAGCCACCTGAACAATTAATGTACACTTCAAAAATGAAGTACAGGAAGGTAAAACAGCTCCTGTTGGGAGAGGGCAAACAGAGAGGGGAAGATGGGTGAACGTAGGTGATGTTCTTTATATACTCGTGTGAAAATAGAGTAGTGAAACCAGTTGGAATTGTTCTAGGAAGGGGTGAGGGATGAGGAAGAATGATGGAGGACATGATCCTAACCAAGGCATATTGTAAGCACATGTGGCAAAGTCACAGTGAACCCCATACAACTAATACATGCTGATAAAAATGTGAAAAGCCCAAAGAAATGATAAATGTTTAAGATAATGGTCATGTTGATCATTACACGTTGTATACCTGTGTACATGTATACAAATGGTCACACTATTACTCCATAAAAATGTGCAATTTTATGTGTCAATTAAAATGAAAAGTATTTTTTAAACCTGTTTACTATAATTGCCATGATTAGGCAAATTTAATGATTTAGAAAATAGATATTTCTTTAGTTTTCATTAGTATTTGAACTAGGAAAACATTTCTTACATCCACTCTTTCTGGGAATGGAGGTTAGGATGTGCCAAACATGACCTCACTTTGACATTTTTCTGAGGGCTTGTGTACTGTCTTTCCATAGGTAGATTCAGGTATGTACTTTTGGCAGAAATCAGTGGATCAGCAGAGGCTGGTGTCTGCCTCATTATTAGTGATGTTAATGTTAATCTGTTGGTTAAGGTAGTGTCTGCCGATTTCTCTGCCTTTAATTTTTTTCCTTTGTTATTAATGTGTCATTTTTAGTGAGTTTGAGACTATGTGAATACCTTTTTTCTCTTAGAGACAGTCCACTCACTACTTTGCACTCCCATTGATACTTACTAGCTTATTAATTCATTACTTGGTGGTTATGAAATAGTGATTTACTAACTTCATCAATCCTAGTTTCAACAATTAGCTTCTTATTTATTTTATTTTTTGGTGGTGGTACTGGGGTTTGAATTCGTGACCTCACGCTGGCTAGGCAAGCACTCTACCACTTGAGTCATTCTATTTTGCATTGGGTATTTTCAAGATAGTGTCTCAGGAACTGTTTACCCAGGCTGGCTTCAAACCACGATCCTCCTGATCTCTACCTCCTGCGTAGCTGGGATTACAGGTGTGAGCCACCAGTGCCTAGCTAGCCTTTTATTTTTATGTTATACTTATAAATTTAAATTTGCTGGGATTCATGGCAGCATTCTTTTATAAGAATTCACATCAGTTATTTACTACAAAAATAAAAACACAAACCCATAATGATTTGTGGTTACTATGTGTTGTAAATACTGTATAAAATTTAATGTTCTCATTTTCTGTGGTTAATTATAAAGTAGTCCAAAGGTGTTTTTATTAAAGTTGTTTGTATTCAAATAGCACAAAAGAGAAAGGAATCTATATATATATATATATATAGATCTATATATATAGATATATACATCTATATATAACCTGATTTTTCATACATACAAAAATACAAACATTTGCTCAACACAGTCTTTAAACTTCATGTGTACTTGCACAAAACAACACAACTGTGAGCAAGGAGAATTGCACTCTTGAATATCTATACTATTGATGACAAAAGAAGACTGTTAATAGTTATGTATCTACATGCATATACATATATCTCATCTACTTGTATTTGTAGTTCAGGGAATTGAACCTAGGGCATTGTACTTGCTAGGCAAACACTCTACCATTTGAGCTACACCCCCAGCTGTTTTGTTTTTATTTTGTTTTTGAGCTACACCCCCAGCTGTTTTGTTTTTATTTTGTTTTTGAGATAGGGTCTCACTAACTTTGCCTGGGCTGGCCTCAAACTCAGGATCCTCTTGTCTCCACCTCATGAATAGCTGAGATTACAGGGATATACCACCATGCCTGACTAACATTCATAATTTTTGATAAGGAGTATTTTATATTGTTAAAACTTTGCCACTTATAGGAAAGTAATTATCTATTCATTTGAAAATAGTTATGTTTTAAGTAACAACTTGTACTATGGCTAATAAGACATGTTCTGAAGATAATAATTCCATTCTAAACAAGCATTCTTTTCTTCTTGGTATTATTTCATTTTCCCCTGGTGCTTGTTCTGAGCCAGTTTTTCTGCTGGATATTCTAAGAAACCTGTTGATGCATCATCTTATATAATAAACAAACGAACCAAGGACTGTGTAGTGTAGATTTCTCTGCCTTCATTTCTGGTAGAACAGTGAGTCCACGTACATCAGATAAGTTGTTAGTAAGTACCTGTGTGTTAATGGCTCATTTTACTTACTGCTCAAGGGATCTGGCTCCAAAATTACTTTTAGAGAGGAAAATTACTCTGTTACACATTATAAAGTTCTATTGTTTTGAACTGATGTCAAGATAGTCATTACAAAACAGGGGTTAGCATCTTTCTTGTTAAAAAAAAAAAAAGTGAGGAGGATGTGTCTGACTACAAAAATACAAAGAACTGAAAACCTCTCTTTTCCAAAATGAAAATGCCTATGTCAAAAGTCAGAGATACTAGTCAGAATTAAATATTAAGACTTATATGGTAAAAAATAGTCTTAATTTTGCTGTTGAAATAAAAACTGAATTCAATAACAATTGTCCAGACGTTTATGCAAGTTGAGAAGCAGAAGTAACTTGGCCTTGTTTTTATGATTCTTCATGAAGAAGTTGATCGATTCCTGTTCTGAGAAAGCCATTCAGTAGAAGCAGTCTCTGGGACTTTGGAAATTTTCTTCTTTAAACTTCACCAGTAATTCCTGTTTACCATGAGTAGATTGTACTGATCTGGGGTCTCTGGACAGAAATTATGTGTTAGGAGCCTGAATGATTTGTAGGTTAGTTTTATATTATTTAATTACCTGTAGTTTATTTTTATATTTATTTTTTTCTCACCTTGAAGGAAAACCTAAATGTCAAACAGGTGGAAAATCTAAGAGGACAATTCAAGGTGCTCATAAAACTTCGAAACAGGTACATTTACAACACTTTCCTACTTTTCTTTTCAATTTTAATTCCTGAATATACTCTAAGTTATAAAAATATTTCAGGATTTGAGTTTTGTATATCTTATCTATGTAAAAATTTAAAGTAAATTTTATTTAACAAGTGTAAGTATTGCATTTACTGCCTCATACTAATTACTTTACAAATACTGACTTTTTTGGTTCTCATAATAACCCCTTGGTGTAGGCATTATTATTATTTTCTTACAAAGGGAAGTTGTGTTACAAAAAGAAGATGATGTAACCTGCTAATAAGTGACACAGCCTAGGTTATGCCCTCAGCCCCTTCTGCTACACATTCCATATTCATGAGTTCCTTTATGATGCTTTTTCTAGATATAATGATATTTTTAGGTTGTGGGAGAGTAAAGCTGTATAGGCTTTAAAATTTTTGAAATTGCTCTACTACTAAAATTGTGGACAACACAGCACTGCTTTATTTTTTGGAAAGTTTTCAGCATAATTATAGTTGGTTTTAAATTTATAGCTGTTTTATTATATGTGCTATTTCAATTTGATATTATTAAAGATACTATTAAAGATAATAGTATCTATTATGTAAATAAAAACTTCATAGGATGGAAACATGGACTTCTAATTAAGGTAACATGTTCACAAAGAATCCTCTATCACCTCACTCAGAGGTATCAATGCTAAATTTTTTTTAAATAAAAAAGATAAAGAATATTTTCAAAAATAAGATAAACATCTCTGGATGAGAGGGAAAACAGACAGGTAAGTGGAGTTGGGGACACAAAAAAGTGGATAGCACCTAGGGGATCAGTTCCAATGAGATAAGGGAGGTTGAAATGCTGTTTGTGGTGGGAAACAGATCCAGGCTCGTGGTGTGTGCAGGTCTGTGCACCAGGAGACTGAGAATGCTATAGCCTGCCTGAGGTTGTGACTGATATCAGAAGGCAGTAGGGACACCACTTAGGAGTGAACCTCTGATTGAGGATGGGATCTGTCATATCCTTGAAAAGATCCTCAGTAAAAGATCTCAAGAGGGCTGGGAGTATGGCACAAGTGGTAGAGCTTCTGCCTAGCAAGCTCTAAGCTCTGAGTTCAAACTCAGTCATGGCAAAACAAACAAAGATAGCACAAAAAAGACCTCAGGAAGTGGAACCACAGTGGGCCATATTTATGGTAATCATAGATGTGAGGACAGAAGGAAAGTAAAAGACAAGAAACTTGAAGTCAGAGTAAGTTTGCAAAGTAAAATACCAAAGCACGTGAGGAAAAGACTGTCATGAAACATGGATAATCCTTCTACATGAGCTACTGAAATTAAGATACTTTTCTAAAGAGAATTCTCAAATAAATTTATCTTCCTCAAACGAAAAGAATAACTTTAAAGCAAAATGGAGGAATCATGAAACAAAGTAGATGAATATTAATTGTGAACATTTGTAGATAAAAGGGAACCAATTAGAAATCTTGGAAATGAAAGTGTTGTCAATGAAAATTTTGAAAACCTGCAATTAATGGAATAAATAATAATAACAATGATAGTACTAGACACAGATTTTTGTGAAAGAGAGTTTGAATTGGAAAGAGATACATCTGGGGAGATTTTGAATACAGCTCAAGAGATTTAGTTTTCTGATGGAAAATACAAAAGAGAATTTTAAGATCAAGAATTTCTATGACTTCCACAAACAGAGAATGAGTAGTAGGGATGTTGAAAGTTTTCCTTATTTTCTGAGTTCTCAAGAGCTTCAGAGCACAAACTAGAGCTGAGCAGGATAAATAAAAATACATTTATGCTTAGATTTGTTCTAGAGACTATTCATAATAGCAAGGCTAAGGAAAAAATCTTTATCAGAAAGTAAAACCACAGAGGAATGGTAGGTTAACAGCAGTCTTCTTACCCATAAAGGACAGTGGAGCAATATCTCAAAATTATGAGGCAAAATAACTTTTAAAGTCAAATTCTATGCTTAGTCACATTATCATTCAAGTGAAAAAGTGAAATAAAGCCATTTTTCCATATGTAAAGACTGAATGTTTACTGTCATCTTAGTCTGTTTTGTCCTGTTACAACAAATGATCACAGACTAGGTAATTTATCAGCAATAGCAGTTTATTTGGCTCATGGTTCTAGAAGCTGGGAAGTTGAAGATCTCAGGGCCACATCTGTGAGAACCTTTTTACCGAATCATGCAGTGGCATCACATGGTGAAAGAGTGTGCTTACATGTACACACAAGAGAAGAAAGGGGCCATACTCATCCTCTATAAGGACACCATTCCTGTGATAACAAACCTGTGATGCTGGCATTAATCCATTTGTGTATGGATTGGCCTTGTGACTTAATCACATCTTAAAGGTCCCACTCTCAACACTGCTGCCTCAGGGACTGCATTTCTAACATGTGGACTTTGGGGAACACATTCAGACCATAGCAGCCATCTGCAGACCCTTCATGGAAGGGTCTGTTGAAGATATACTTCAGCAGGAAGACAGGGAAACCTGGGGGAAGGAGTTTGGTAAAAGGTGTGCACCATGTCGGAAAAAAATCTCATGATCTGCTGAAAGGTTTTTTAAAAAAAATTCACGCAACTAAACTTAGATGATGCTATAGTTGGATATAATTATAGTATGTGGCATTTCTAAATGAAAAGAATATATACAAGCAATTAAAATGATAGCATTGCAATTTATTATTTGTGAATGTTTATAAGTGTGCCATAAATGTGTTCTAATAAATCAGGAACAACTTTGGTGCTTCTTGATAAGGGTTTATTCGCTATTAAAGCCATCTTAATCTTCAGTACAGCTTATCTGAAATATTGACCTCACAGACCTTTGGTTTAAGGTGAGAAACACATGTTGATGGAGTCAAGTGTGATATAAGCTGAGAAGAAAAGTGTCTTATTTTAAACATTTATGTTGAAAAATGTGTTTTGTACAACCTCTGGAAACCTTTTTATTGATCTTTTTTCATGTTTTACTTTACTTCACCAGAATGCTGCAGTAGACTGTAAAATAACATCCACAGCTGGAGATAAACACTTTGATAAAAGCCCTACTAAAGCAAGGCATCCTCGGAAAATTGATCTCAGAGCTCGCTACTGGGCATTCCTTTTTGACAATCTTCGCCGGGCGGTGGATGAAATCTATGTAACATGTGAATCAGATCAGAGTGTGGTGGAATGCAAGGTAGGCTGTGCTCTGAGGCTTGTAATCCATCTCACCTCAGATGCTCCAAGTTGGCTGCATTTTGTTGGTCATTTACCTCACTTTTTAAAGTTTTAATAAACCTTATATGCTTTTCGTTTCATTACTTCTTATGAGAAATTGATTTTTTTAGCAGTCTAGTTATTTATTAGTCTTCAAATACTTCAAGTATAGGATTGAAATTTACCTTCTTCATGTCCGAGAAGTTAGGTTAAAAAATGCTCATGGAATATCTTGTACAATGCTTCTAGAATATTATAAAGATTTAAAAAAAGTAATTGAGAATTGTTTAGCCATTAGGGTTTTTTGCAGTATTGTTCTGCAGAAAGTCTATACACTAGTACTGCCAACACTATTACAAAATAAAATAATCTCTTTAGACAGAAATGACAAAATAAATGGATTCTTACTGTTTCCACATGACAGAACATGTTATGAGAAATTGGTTTTTATGATCCTTTTGATTTTGAAGAATGCTTTTGTCTTTGGCATGGCTTAATTATATCTTTTCATATTCTGTGAAAGCTTTGAAGAAAGCTGTTTTGTTACATAGTGCTGGGGAAGGAACCAAAGTGTTGGATGGGACAGACAGACAGACACACACACACACACACACACACACACACACACACACACATGAATTTAAAATGTCTTACCTGCATTCTCCACTGGTACTGTAGGTGGCATTAGTGAGATTTTCACATTCTTTGGTCCCATGTTTAATGTCTTTAATTGGACCTTGCTCCCTTTCTGTTGAAACACTTATCATTCTCCTGATTACCTCTGGTTAGGGAAAAATGAGATCGATGGCTAACCATAAACAGTTCTGGGTGGGATTGGATGTCATTATAAGGTGTGTTTGTTAATTTTAGATAACCCTGTGTTTGTAATAAGATATTAAACAGACACAGAGCATAGTCTGTCTCAAAAAATTCACTAAAAAGCCTGGCTTTTTACTAAATACAAGCTATATGCTGTATTATATATTTGTTTTATTTTGAGAAAAACCAGAGTGATACATTTTTTTAGAATTATTAAGGAGATAACTTCTGTGCTAATGTTGAACATGGTTGAAAACCCTGGAATTCATTATGGAGCCTTTGAAATATATGAAGGGTATAAGGAAAGTTACATGTTGTGACAGCAGTTGGGTTTCATTTTTGATCGGAAATAGCCCAAATAAATTTCAGACTAGCTTGAAAAAACGATTCATAAAATGAACAGTAGTTGGAATTACCAAATATTTTGTATGTATACAATATATATTGTAATACTGCTCCTATCAGCATGTAAAACCTTTTTATGTTTTAAGAAAAATGTTTTTGAATAAAATCCTATCCTTGGAGTATGGTTAGTCAGCCTGTGGTAAAGAACACTACTAGAGTTGGTTTGTATTAAAGTTTCTTTTGTAAAATGAGTACACAGGCCTAGGTGATCGATCAGTCACATCACAGATTCTTTGATTTTTGTGAAAAAATAAAAGTCAGATTGAAGAAATCAAATTTGTTTGGAAAATAATGCATTGCTTTAGAGAAAAGAGATTGACTGATTGGTCATACCTCTGCAATGAGCAGAAACTCTGGCACCTGCCTCTTGAGGAAGCTAGTGTGGCATTCATAAGAAAGTGTGGCTTTTATTTCTGGTTTGGTCACTCATTTATCTAAAGCTTTGTGAAAGCTTCCTACTAAAGAAATTTGTGTAAGTTGTGGATTGAAAGGATGGAGAAGATTTTAAACGAGAAATGCTTGTACTATGCCCAGATGCTCAAAGGCTTAAGCCAGTGCAATTGGGAGCTTGAAAGTTCTTTTCACTCTCTCTTCTTCTCTTCGTCTTCCCCACGGCTCCCCCAGACTTTCAGGTGGTAATGTAAAAAGATGCAGAGTCTGAGCACATAATGGTTGTATAATAATTAGTGTTCCATTTTTGTTTTGCTCTCTTCTCATTATCAAAGTACAGGCATTTATTTTCTCATTTGGTTAACCTTTGTGAGATACATAACTCAGGGATGTTTTCTTATTTTGCAGGTAGATTTAATCCTTGTTTTGTTGATGCACTGAAGACTTTATCCCCATTTGTGATTTTTGTGTTTTAACCTTAATTAAATAACCACAGTTCAGTTTTGTGTCTCATATGTAAAATGTAGTTAATGACAGCTATATTATGTAATTAACATGATAAGTATAGCATAATAGTGAAAGGTATGTTTATTTTTTGCCCAGAATTGCTGACCAGACTCACCTCTGTAATTACAAGTGGCAAAATTCCTTGGTTTTTGAGTTTGAAGATGTGTCTGTTATGACATCAGCCATTTGACTAAATGGCTTGCTAAGTACTGACATTCCAGCAAAATCATATTCCGTCACCCCTACATTTTCCTTTGCCACCTTGTAGAGTGGTCTAGAGGGTGTGCTGGGGTGGGGAATTGCCTTTTGGGGTGTGTATAGTCAATGAAGTGGTGGCCATCCCTTCACTTGTTCTCACCAAGGTTTGAGGTGGGGCTTAAAAGAATTGGGTATGAAGTTTGTATGTGTGAGTGCAGGAAGGGGAGACTGGCATCTTTTTCTCTGGCTGGCTGCTTGTTGTGCCTGAATTTCAGTGTGTCTGGAATGTGTTAAGGATTGAGAGGATGGAATTCTGGTAATACATTTTACTTCCTCTTGCTATTTCCCATTTCAGTGTGGGGGGCTAGACAGGTGTTTTTGGAAGTTCAGAGGCATCCCTGAATACAGAGACTAGTGCCTACAAGTGTCTTAGAGATTTTATAGCATGCTGGAGTAGCCCATGTCAGCTTGAAGGAACTTATGCCTCTGAAAGTGTTCTCAAAGAGGACACTGATGAGTCACATGGTATCATGTGAGGAAAAGAACATAGACTTAAATGAAGATACTAGAGTCACTGGTGTTTCCTGTGGGGATCCTTGGCTAGGTGAATGTATGCAAAATTCTGATGGAGTTGGGCAGAGGGAGCTGAGGTGAATCTGCACACTGCCTGAAGGTAATACATGTTACCAGTGCAGAAATCACCATCAGCGTAAAGATAATGGAGAGGCTACTAACCTTAATTGAATCAGAGAAAGACTGTGGACATTTGTCCTAGCACTCGACTACTGGCACTTGAGTTCCTAAGAAAGGACTGGCTGATGACTGGCAGACCCATCCCTGATGTCTATGACCCATCACTAATAGCTGGCAAGCTTAGTAAGTCTAATATTGCTCCAGTCCTACATCTGCCACTTACGGCAGAGTATATAAGCTTGCAAAGGAAGAGGAGGAGGAAAAGGGAGGGACAGGAAGGGAGGAGGAAGCTGGGAAGAAAAGCCGTGCCCTTTACTACCAGCACCTGGTGGCTCTGTAACTCTCCCTGGTGCTAATGAGGAATGTTCTCAATAGATGGGATTTAAAAACTGCATTTTAGTAATTGAATGTGACTGAAAAAATGTGGAATTCCACTGGTCACACTCAGCAGGTTTAGGATTCAACTAGGTAGTTATGGGGAAAACCAAAATTATTTTAAAATTTATTATCTCAATATGTTGAGGCTTCCCAACTCAGCAAGTTAAGTAAGTATCAAAAAGAGATGTGAGAAAATGCTATATGGCATGCAGTAAAAAATAAAACTTTATAATTGGAAAAAAGGAGAGTCAAAGATGGAGAAAGTGGGCAGTGGTCCAGGGACAGAGAGTAAATAGTAGTAGAAGTGGGAAGAAGACCAGAACAGCAATGTTCCTAAAGCTGTGAAAAGAGGACTGCAGCACAGGTCAAGCTTGTCTCAAGTTGAGAGAGCCTTTTCTATTTGGCAGAGAAACAAGAGCATAGGGCTCAGGGTGGAAACTTGTGGTAATAACTTGAACTTCCATTTAAGTTCTTTGTCCTTTTTATTTTTGAAAAATAGGAGATGTGGAGTTGGAAGCTTGAGGAGTGGAGGAGTTACAAAATAATGAATAGAGAGTACCAGACTGACCTACAGAAACCACAGGATTGTCTGTCAGCCTTAATGCCACAGTGGAGAAGTTCTTCTCTGCCTTGCACAGTATCTCATTTTCCTTATTTGCTTCTTTTCTCATCAGCCTTCAACATGTTTCCTTCTCTTCATTCTAAAAGCAGAACAAGACAAACAAGTGTCCACAAACCACAAACCCTCTCTACTTACCCTGTTATCTATCCCCCAAACCCTAATTTTTCTCTCCTTTTTCTTAGCCATGTTTCTTGGAGGAGTTTTCTGTATTTGCTGCCTCCATTTTCTTTTCTCCCTTGTAGTCATTGATGTTGAGCCTGGTTTCATGTCCTATCAGAACTTCTGTAAGCTGTTGTGTGAAGGTCACTTCTGTATTGCTAACTCCAGTGGATCTTTTTAGCCCTTCCATGACCTCTGAGCAGCATTCCACACTGTTGGCCACCCCGCCTCTTCTTGCAGTATTCTCTTCTTTTGGCCTTCACGGTACACCCTCTGCTAATTTTCTTCTTATGTTGGCCACTACTTTTGCATCCCACTATTGGATTTTTCTTTTCTACCTGGCTTTTAGCTGATGGGAGATTCATTTTAGATCGTGTTCTTGTCTCACTAATTTATACAGCTTTCTCCAGTCCATGGCTTAATTTACCATTTGTCCCTGGTGATTCTTTTTTTTTTTTTGGGGTGGGGTAGGGATTGGTAGTGGAAGTTGAACTCAGTGCCTCACATTTGCTAGGCAGGCGCTCTACCACTTGAGCCACTACACCAGGCCCTCCTGGTGATTCTTAAATTGCTAACTGTAGCCTATACCTATCTTCTGATTTTCAGACCTCTGTGTCTACCTTGGCTAGTTGGCATCTCCATTTGGCTGTCTCACATTTTAAACTGGTATAAAACTATGTTCTTAATCACTTTCTCCCACCCTACACCTGGAGATGTTTCTCTTCCTGGAATGGCAGATCCTACCTCCACCCAAATGTCCATGCTTGAACCTTGGGAGACATCATGAAGCCATTGTCCAATGGCTTGCT